AGTTTTCGGCCTTAGTGTTTTCTAGGCATTAGGATTTCGGTCATACCTCATTCCCTCATGGTGATTTCGGATTTGAATCACCCACTAAGGGGGTGATTTCGGTCTAGTACTTCCTAAACATTAAATGAGTGGGGTCCTATGCTTAAGATTATAAGGCAAGGTATTAATTCATGGTTTATGTTTCAACTATTTGATTTGTCTTGACTTGTTCTAGTTTGTTTACTTTCAAAAGCTTGTTATAAATATGTGGCTGTCATGTACCTAAGATTAGATATAGAACTTTCAAATTTATATAGTTTTAAGCTTAAAAACATAATCCATCATCCCAAGTTTGTTAATCTTCTTCCTTAAGTCACGAAAAAATAAAAATATCTGAATGCCAAGATAAAATATAATAAAAGCAATTACAAAAACTTGCTAGCTATTGTTTTTAGTACATAAGAAAAACTGATTGAATTGAAGTAAAAAAAAAAATTAGTTCATGTTGTACCTGATGCTTTGTTCCACCAGTAATAAAATGGTTTTGTAGCTTCATTAGTTTTGAATTGAATTGAATTCTTGTCATTTTTTAAGGAAAAAAAATATGAGTTTTCACTTATCTTAAAACTTTGTTCGGCGGTTTTTTTTTCTAGAAAACAAAATTCGATTTGTATTATAATGTACTATTCGATTTAGTTTATGTAATTTTTTAAGAAAGCAAAATGAGCAACAAGTTAAAAATTATAGGCTTTTACTTAAAATTAGGTGGTTTCATGTGGTTCTACGTCTAAGATTACATACCTAACAGCCATATATTCCCTTTTCCCATATATATATATATATATATATATATATATATATATATATATATATATATATATATATATATATATATATATATATACTTACATACATACCTATACAACTAATGCCCTTATGGCTTTCAAGAGTTTATTGCAACAAGGTTACATTGTGAATTCACTTGCACATTCTTACAATTTAGACCTTGCTTGATCTAAAACTTTCGGGTTGTCACATTGCAACTTTATGAATCTCTAGGCCATTTGGGGTGTTTAGTGTTCTTGACCCATTGAGTTGTCCTTTCATACCCTTGGAAGGGTCTTCATCCATGAAAATGGGTTCCAAATGGTTAATTTTGCTTCATGCATCATCTAAAAGGTATTAATGGATTAAGAAGTTGAGTTAAGCACTTAATGGACATGCAAAGTCATAAAGTTGGAAACTTTATGACTCTTGAGGGTATTTTAGCCATGGATCTGAAAAATGGATGTGAGTGCTTAAGCCATTAAGCACTTAATAAGAGTTTTGGACTTCTGGGAGCACGCCTCGCGTACCTAGAGTACGCCCTGCGTACGAGGTCAACCACCTCGATGGTGGTCAACATGCGAGTATGCCCAACGTACATAGGGAGTACGCCCCACGTACTTATTCAGTGGTGACTCGACTGGGTTGACTCAGTTGACTCGGTTGGTTTGACCAATTTGACTTTGACTTTGACCAAGTTTGACCTTAAGGGTATTTTGGGATTTTGATTGAGATCGGTCATTTGGTTGGAATAGGTATCGATTAGATATGAGATTCGGAGTCGAGACCTCATCATCTTTTGTCCAGTTTGTGAGGTGAGTTTTCCTCATTGTACTTGCGGGTCGAAGGCACCAAGGCCGACCATTAGATTAGATATCTTGTTATGTGATAGTATGTTATCATGATGTAGTGATCTGTTAGATCTGTATCTTGGTATATAGGATGATGATATGCTTAGTGATCTGTAAGATCTGTCTGATTGTCTGTTGACTGGTTATATGTATGTTTATCTCTTATGTATATGTCAACATGTTGTGTGTGGTTGGGTTGAGGCGAACCAATGTAGACTGAAGGACAAGAGACCCAGGGCGTCCCGGATAGACTGTAGGCTTGAGAGGCGTACTAGTCAGGCCGAAGGCCCATATAACGGTCCAGATAGGCTGAAGGCCCGGTGAGGCGTTCCGGTCATGCTGAAGGTTCTGTGAGCGTTCCAGTCAGGCTGAAGGCTCTGTATGCAAGTTGTTTGTTGTTGTGTTTATGTGATGGTACTTTGGGGGAACTCACTAAGCGTTGACTTACAATTTTGGGTTATGTTTTCAGGTATTTTGTGTGACCGCGGGAAGGCTAAGGCGTGACCGTACACATCCTCTTATTTATGACTTATGATTTTTGGGAGACTCTGATGTTTGAAAAATGTTTTGAAAACTATGATTTGTAAACATTTTATGATTTTGGATTGATTTTACAAGTTCAAATTTATTGTGATTTTTATGGATATTACAAAAATAATCTGAAGTGAATATATTGAGGGTAATTTTGGAAGACTGGTCTGGCTTTGTGCATTCCATGAGTTAGTCGGTTTCCAAAACAAACATGACGAAATTTAGATGAATATATTTTATAGGATTTACATTAATAAGGACGAAGGATAAAATAGTAATTTAACTTTGATAGTAAATTGACAAAAGGAGATGTCATATGACAAATTTGATTCATTTATTAGAATAAAAAGATGCTTGGCAGTGCATTTTTTTTTTCTTATTTTTAAGGATGGTAGAAGTTCCAAAAAAAATATGGATGGTATGGATGATTGATAATATATAAACTTTGATGTTTATATTTCATACCATCAAGAGTAAATTACAGTTTTGGTATGTGTGTGTAACACCTGTTCCAGGCATTAAGGTAATTTTCAAAATTTTAGGGTTTTGGCGCTGGGACTCGACGAGTTGGGAGCCCCGACTCGTCGAGTGGAGGCTATCAAGAGGACGCGGAAGTTAGGTCCTACTCGACGAGTCGGAAGGTCCGACTCGACGAGTAGGAGCTGTAAAGAGAAACCCTAAATTTTAGGGTTTGCAGTCTATATAATATCCTTAAGGACCTTGAGGCTGACCTTCCATCAGCCTCCAAACCCTAAAACGTCTGTGCTAAACCCTAATCCCCATTCTCTTCCATTTTGTGAGCAGAGTGATTTGTGGAGCTTAAGAAAAAGGAGATAGTGAGAAGAAAGAGGAGATCCAGCAAGCCAAGCCTTCACTCTTGAACTTGATCATCTTGTGGACTATTGTAAGTCTTCAAGACTTGATTTTTATCTTAGAAAATGGCTAGATCTTGAGTTTACTCTTCATTTCCCATTATTCTTGTTGATTGCATGCATGGGGTTCATAAAGTTTGCAACTTTATGAATCTCCAGGGCAAAATAGTCCCAAGGTGGGCTAGATCTGGTTTTTGGTCAAGCAAGGATACAATGCAAGGGTTTTAAGTGTATTCTTCCCCTTTTTGGCCATTTTTATTTAAGGACATGCATTGGACATGTATGTCAATAAAGCCTCCATCTTTGGAACGTTTTGAGGACTAGAAACTCTTCTAGAAAGGGGGGATTCCAGATCCCTAAAGTCTTAGACCAAATGGCTAAGCTTTGGAGCTTTCCAACCTTTAATAAGGGCCTTAGAGCATTCGGAGTGGTTCTGGAAGGTAAAGTTGGAAACTTTATCCTTCTAGACACCTTAGGGTTTCAGATCTAAGCCCTGGAGTCCCTGCATTCGATGGATTATAATAATAAGCAAACAGGGAGGGGGACTTGACGAGTAGCCCTGGCAACTCGACGAGTCGGATCGGGTTTCCCCGTCGATTGGATATCAAGTGAACTCGTCAAGTTGATGAACCTACTCGACGAGTTGGCTAGGGTTTGTTCAGGTGTTCTGGACTCTGCAGGAACTCGACGAGTTGCTAGATGCACTCGACGAGTTGAGGTCAACATGGACTGTTGACCTTGACTTTGACCAGGGTTGACTTTGAGTGTAATTATGGGATTATGACAAGTTAATCACTTAATGATTATAGGCAGTTGAGTTGGAGCAGCACGAGGGACATATCTGATTCTAGCTTGTCAGCACAGCGTTCGTGAGAGGAGAGTCTCATCACCATACCAATGGGTCTAAGGCACCAAGGCTGACCCATTTTATGATATGTGGCATCCTAGCTGTAGTTGTATTATGTGGTATGATAGTTTGTTGAGCTAGGAAGCATGCTAGTGGTATATATGGTATGTATGTGTGGAAGACCATGAGAGAGATCATGACACTTGGATGTAAGACCATGTGGAGAGCCCATGGCTTTCCTATTGAAGACCATGGGGGAGCCCATGACACTTAGGTGTAAGACCATGTGGGGAGCCCATGGCATCCTAGAGTAAGACCCTGGGGACGAGCCCACGACATCCTTGTATGTTGTATGCATGGCTTATGTAGTATATATGTAGCTTTTATAGCTAATATGTTATGTGTTATGTGGATTGTGTGTGGGGTATGCTCTGGGGAACTCACTAAGCATTAACTTACAGTTTGTGGATTTGTTTCAGGTACATCCCAGCCCAAGGGCAAGGGCAAGGTCTGATGGCGCGGCGTGCACTCTCTTTCAGTCGTTATCATGGGACACTCTAATGTTTTAAAATAAAAATTGTTGATGTTATGAATTTGAAAACAATTGTATTTGGGATTACATGAATGATGAAACATATTTTGGCTAATTAAAAATGAAAAATTTTCTTTTGAAAAATGGGGTCGTTACAGTGTGGTTTAGGTAGATCCGTACTTTTGATCCAACCTTTCGTAAATGGACAAGACGCATCCCTGTGGTTTCCTAATCTTGCAAATTTGGTCCTTGATCCATATAAATAGATTATATTGCCCTTTCTAATTTCTTTTTCTATTTTCTTTTACTCACTTATAAAATTCGATAATATAAAAAATAAAAAATATCCACCACACCCACCCACCCCTACCCCCACCCCACCACAACCCATCATGTTCATCTCTCTCATTCACCATCGGAAACATCCCCGAAGTTCAGTCGTCACCGCTACTTCATCTCCCACCATCATCAATCAACACCAACACAAGAAAATAAAAACACATCTATTTCAGTGCGTCTCCTTTATCTCGATCTGAACATAAGGAGATTCAATAGTGGTGATCATGGGTGGTGATTTTCTCCAAGAACGCAAGAAGACGAGCACACATGATTTCTTGCCAGTAAGTACCTCCCTTCCCATCGACTCATTTCCCTATCTCCTTTTGAAACCACTTATCACCATCCATTTGCCTTTGATTCGTCATCAGCAAATCTGACATATCCTGCTGCTCCTTTTGATTCGTCACCTTCATATCTCATAAATCCTCCATCTCCCCCTTCAATGTCTCAGACTTTCTCTCTCCCTTCAGTGACTTGTAGGTATCTCATCTCTATCGCCAATTTCTATATATAACCCTACTAACATACAAATTATGACAAATGGCTCATCGAATCAAAGTCACATTGTCCGAACTCCGAAACTATCATATCCTCGATATTGTATCAACCATCTTCTCCATTGTCGGCATCATATTCTTCATCGTCGTTTTCCCCCATCTTGGTAACCTGCTGCTTCCTATAGTAACAACCCCCCATCTGCTCTAGGGATGTCAACGGGGGCAAACGAGGCGGGGAGTGCATTCCCCGCCCCCGCCCCAAAATTTCCCCGTACCCCCGTCCCTGCCCCCGCCCCCGAAATGTTCAGCCTTCCTACCCCCGCCCCCGCCCCCGAATCCCCTTTATTACCCCCGCCCCCGTTCCCCGGCCCCCGATTGATTTTGGACTGTATTTTTTGGGCTAAAAGAAGTTGTTATTTAGGTTAAAAGAATCTATTTTTTAGGTAGCAAATAATTATTTATAGCAGAATTTTACATGTTAAAAATAAAAAAGTTATGACATCTTAAAATCAATATACTAACAACTTAAAAATATGTTTTTTTGATGAATTTTGGAAGCTCAAAATCACGTTATTGTTTATTATATTTATATAATTAATATATGTAAATATATGTGTAATTTATTAACGGGGTCCCCATGGGTGTTTCGGGACGAGATTGTCTACCCCCGCCCCGGCCCCGAAATTAAAACGGGAGTTAACCTTGCCCCTGCCCCCGATTTTTTTTTAAAAATTTCCCCCAAACGGGACGGGGCCCCCACGGGAACAGGGTTCCACGAGACTTTTTGACATCCCTAATCTGCTCTACCATCGTCAATCTCAAACATCTACCAATACTATGATTCTATGTTGATTAGGAAAAAGGAAGAAAGAAATGGGAATAAGAAATATAGGGTAGAGCGGTACTCTTGAACGTGGTGAAAGAAGAACGAAAAAGGAAGAAGAAGGGAGAGAGACGGTGAGGTTTGGGCTGGAGGGTTAGGGGAGGTAGGCCCAAAATATATTTTATATTTTTAAAAAGAGTAAAAGAAAATAGAAAAAGAAATTAGAAAGGGCAATATAGTCTATTTATACAGATCAAGGACCAAAACTGCAAGATTGGGAAACTACATGGATGCGTTTTGTCCATTTTCCAAAGATTGGACTAAAAGTACGAATCTACCTAAACCACAGGGACCAAAACTGTAATTTACTATATCGTCAATTATGTGTTGTCGGCGTGTCTTTTAACTTTAAAGTTGTAGTAATTCATATAAACTTCTATCAGTCAATGGTAGTCAACAAACCGAAATCTTGACAAATTAATGCCCAACCGGTAGACAATCTCAACTTAACAACCTTATCTGTTATGGAATGTTATGGGGTTTATGGAAGGCTCGGAATGATCGTATTTTTAAACAGATGAAACCAACTCCAACAAAAATAGCTTGTGACATACAATCATTGGTGTTCCTTTGGCTGAAACATAGGGGTTCTATGGGTGTTATTAGGTGGTGCGATTGGGGGATGTCCCCTTTTGCTTGTCTGTAACTAATATACTTCCATTTTTCTTTTTTTGTAGTTTCTTTGCTGTTGGCTCATCTAGCTTCTTGCTAGGTGATGCTCATTTATAAAACTGTTTAGCCGTTTCCAAAAAAAAAACAACCTTGACAAATCAACGCACACCTTAATACATTTACACTAAAAATATTACAATCTTTAATGGAATAATTCATGACAATGACAATTCAATGAATTGTGTTTTTTGTTGATTGAAGGATTAGTACGTTAGTTGAGATCCCATCAGCCCTTCACCTAGTTGAGGGTAAAAAGAAAGATAGTTGAGGGATCTTTTCTGTAAATTATTCTATTTAATACAACAGAACATTAAGAATTTTCTTATGACAAATTAGACCCTTATAGTTTGAAAAATTATTTAAGTTCTCCGTAAAATTCCCATACTCTAAGTTATGAAGTTATCAATAAGTTTGATATTGTGACACAGTGTGCACTCTTCCACTTTCCTTTGTGTTGCTATCTTTCTATAAAGTTAATCAACTTGTAGCTCTTTTCCCTTTAACATGGTGTTATGCTTTCATTGTTAGAAAATAAACCAAAGCATCAGACAGAATAAAAACTAAGATGTTCAATCTTGACAAAAATGATCGAAAATAACCAAAGTAAATAAATAACATTACTTTATAAAGTTTTGGCACTTTAAGTGACACGAGTACTGGATTCAATGATTCATGCACAACCTAATAAGCATGATGCCAAATATCGTCGAACTCATAAAGAAGAAAAAAAACACTAATATTAAAAGATATAATGAGTAACATATGAAATGTATGCAACTCACGGACTTATCATTATGCTATTTTATTTGGTTTTGTTTTAACTTTGACGTGTGATATAGTTAACTTGACGATTTATAAATGAAGAGCACCACACTCAAAAATCAGTGACATAATTTACTTACACTTATGAAGCAAATTTCTAAGCCTTATGCCAAATTTCACGGATATGTACATGACTTTAAAAATAATAATATACCATCATTAACATATGTAGTCAATAGTGTCATGAGCAACATATATAGTCTATATTCAAACTTACATTTAAATGTACAAGCGTCCATTTTAATATCACACTTTGCACATTTCATAAAATTGGTAAATATTGTAATAGTTGACTTGTCTTTACTAACTTTTTTGTTTTTTTGTTCAAATAAATTGTCTAAAGTTATAGGAACTTCTATGTTAACAATCTAAGATGTTGCGCCATAAAGTCTGATATACTTTTTATCAGGTCTAATAAGAAGTTAAGTTTGATCCAATGAATATTTGTTTCAACCAAATGTTACTATCAAGAAATTCAAGTCATCTTATAATAATCAAATTTAAATCTAATAGAGCAAAATAACCTATAGCTTATTTTTAAATTTATGTATAAACTATAACCAATTGAAAATATAATTTCGGTAAAAACCAAATTAAAAACTGAAAATATAATAATAATTAAAAGTAAAAGAATCATTAATAATTTCCGTAAGAGCCCATGCTATCTAATATCTATAAATACCCATTCCGCTCACCCTTTTCTTCTCCTTCCCAAAACTGTTCTCTTTTCATATTTCCTCTCAAGTTCTCCGTAAATCCTTTCCAAGATCCTGTACAACTGGTAAGTATCTCTCATACATTCTTCGTCTTTTGTTCAATCGTTAACGAATTTTTGCGTTCACCTTGCTTATGAATCTTTTTATCATTGTGTTTCTCATAGCATTCAATCATCAATGACGCTTTATTGACTTCGATTTCACTCTCTGTTTCATCGTTTTTATTTTTTGTCGCATATAAGATAGATTTTTTTTATCGGCTGTGATGGCCGTTGTGTGCACGAATTTCTACGGCGTGTTTCCAGGCATTCGCCGGAAAATCTAAAAACAGAGAGAAAATCGGTGGCGCTAGTTTTTCCGATTACTTCTCGCCTTTTTCTTAGCGACAAATCAGTAGGTTATGATTCATGAACATACCAAACGAAGCAGTTCGTTGTTCGTTTTCTATTATTCCATGCGATAGTCACATAGCTCCATTTAAATCCAGCGCGTGCACTTCACCTCCACATCAATTGCACTCGATATATTGAAAACCAGGTTAAAATAATCATGTTATTAAATATGAAATATTAGTTCTCTTACGCTAATTATTTATATAAAATTGTAATAATTTTAAATCATATTATATCATCTATTAATATCATATTATTTAATGATTGCTACTTGAAACTTAGGTATGAACAAACTAAATACATATTTCGATTTAATATTACATTTAACGTTATGATTAATAATTTATAAATTATTTATTTGCTGTTTTTTTGTAAGTCAATGTAATGTAATGTATAAGGTTATATTATTTTAATTATTATTATTATTAAATTAATTTAAAAAATTTATTTGGAAAATTTTTAATTATTATAAAAAAATAGTTATTTAGTTAACTTAACATATCTAATTAGTTTTATTTTTAAAACATTTAAATGGTATAAACTAATTTAAAATAAATTGCTTTTGAATATTTTTAAGTTTGTTTGATATTTACATTTATATTTTGGTTCTGACATAATATTTTAAGTATATTATATTGATAATTTAAAAAATACAACATTGATATGATAATATTTCATATTTAATAACATATTTAAATTAATAAATGTGTATTATAATGAAATTTGAAAAGTTTGTGAGATTCAAATGAATATAATGAAATAAAACAAATATTTTTTTATAGTATAATATAGAAATATAGATCTAGATAGTATCATTTAAAGCACACACGATAATATATTGTTATTACCATATACTTTGAAAGATATTGTTGTTATGTAATTTATGAATATAATTCATGTAATAATAATACATAATATTACGATTTATTTCAAAGAATAAGTTCTACGTTATTTGCACTTCAAGCTTGAGAGATTCTAATTAAAAGTTGCTCATAACTCATGAATTAAGGTTTATAATTCACAATCACACTACATATAGGATAAGATATTATGTTCTTTTTATCTCTACTTTGTTTGTTTGTTTGCTTACTTTTTTAGAATGTGACTAGGTTTCCAAGATTTGTTTACTTTAATGATTTGAAGGTAAAAAGGTTTTGCTAGAATAAAATTCATTGGTTTACACTGTTATTTTCTTATATATATTTATTTACATTAGAATCTTGTGATACTTTTATTTATTTTTAATCTAATATTATAGGTTAAGGATCATTAGAAATTTAATTTTTGTTGTGAAAAACTTGGACAATTAATGGCCACATATATATACATAAAATATGTAATAATTTAATATAATTATCGAGTTTACGTCCATTGTTCCTCGTATAACAAATAATTGTTTACTACTCAAGATATTTATTTTAATTTTTTTAATTAATTTTGGTAGCATCCCAATAAATACGTGGTAACTCCGAAGTTTGTGTGAGGGGTTTTTTAGCTTATTTAATAGATGCTTCTGACCCTATTATTTTCTATTATAATTATATTTATTGTTTATCTTTTGACAAAGTTGGCTTAACATAATTATAGCTCCACTTTTACCTTCTTCTTTTTTTGCCATATGCACTTGTATCTTTACACTATTTTTCTTACCTGTTTCAATTAGTAGAATTTGCTTTAAATTATTTATATGCTTTGTTTGTGTTTGATCCTTAGGCTATTTATTACACAATGAATTCTTAACATACACGAATGTAGGTAGACAATAATTTCATTTCAGTTTAAAAAATATCACTTTAAAATAAGCTATTGAATATAATAAATTAATTTAATTTGGTTCGACAATTAGAACACAACCAATAAAATACATAGGGTTAATAATTGGGGGAAAATAATATAAATTCGTAAAGATAGTGTATTAAAATAAAGAGGAAACCCCTCCATGTTGCAGTTGACAGATCTATGTTATTAGGGTTGAATAATTGAACAGTAATATATTGTATATTCTGAAGAAATACAATACTATTGTTTCATTTTATATGATATTAAAAAGTGAAGTTATGTTTGTTTATCATAAATAATTTCACTTGTACTATCTCCTTAGGAAGGAGGGAGTCGTTCCCTCCCAACCCACCGAACCCACTGTCACATCAATTTTTGTCTCTTTTTTTTCTTCATTTTTCCCAACCCACAACACACGGAAATCTTATTTTTTTGAACCCACTCAATTGAAAAAAATACAAAACAACTAAGGTACAAGTTTTAAAACACATGGTACTAGAGAAAATAAGAAAGAGAAAGTAGAGAGAGATGATGAAGTGGGTTAGTGAAACCAATCAACCCACTGGTTGAAGCGAGAGTGGTACCGCCGATAACTCTATTGCTAATTAAGATTTTAATTGAGTGGGTTGAGTGGGTTCAAAAAGATAAGGTTTCCGTGTGTTGTGGATTCGAAAAGATGAAGAAAAATTAAAGAAAAAAAAAAATGTGGCAGTGAGTTCAGTAGATTGGGAGGAAATGACTCCCTCCTCCCCTATCGGAGGTTGAAAGAAAAGAAACACTTGTTCTTGTGGTGACTTGGTATATTGCAAATTTTAAATTTTATTTTAAACTATAAAGGATCTGAACACCGACTTTTAGGATTTGATGTTTGGATTATAAAAATAGAGTTCAAATGGACCTTTTTTCATTTTTCTTCATCTGTGTCAGTTTATAGGCCAGAGACTTGCATCCCACTTTTCACGCGTCTCTGAATGCGCGTGCACATACTCTCCTCTACTAATTTACACGTATTCCAATCAGAATCCCATATACAAGAAAATGCAGATCTTTCATTAAAAGTGATTTTGTGGTGCAATCTAAGAAACATTTTTTATTATTCAATTCATAACTTAATCATGTTTGTGTAAAACTAAAATTAATAGTATTATTTATTTATACGTTATTCAGTTCAAAAAATATATCATTTTATCATCATATTTTACACTCCTAAATGAAGGATATTTTAATCAACGTAGTGCACACTCCACATTCCATTTCGAAAATATTTTGTCTCTACATGACAAAAATTTATATCATTTGGTATCTGAATAACGTATTGGTTTTTTATTACTTTTATTTTCCTGGGTGCTAAGAGTCTGATGGATTCGATGGATCTGTGGGTGTAGCATGGAACATATGTTGACATCCATCTCCCTTTACCTAATTTTGTTATTTAATTTTACCTTTTTTAGTATTAAACATGGAAATCATTATCATTATTATTAACACTAAACAATCTTTAAAATTTATTTTCAGATACCATTAACCGATGTTTATAACTTTTACATAATACAGTAATAATTTTTGACTTAGTCAGCTTGTTCTTGTTACTTTCGCATGCGTGTTTTGTCATTTTAATAATCATTTTAACGAATGTTTCTTTTTGATCCATGTTGTGGTAAAATAAAAGTGAAAAGAAAATAACACAAGCGAAGAAAGGGACAATGGTTGGGTCCAAGTTCATGGTACCTATTGATTTCTTCTTATTTTTCTTACCCTTTTTAATTATAACACTTTTAAGTCCTTACTCTTTTGTTTATTTAATTATTTCTGCTTGCTTAATTTCTCCCTATTATTTTCAATATAATAGAATGTGGCAACAAAGCTTTATGAGGCAACAGGAATGCAAAGATGGCTACCCACAAAACCACAATCTGAATTCATGTCCAAATCCAGACATGATCATGTCGATGGTGGCTATAATATGCCTAATGAACCAATCACAATCGACCAAAATTACATTTCTTGGTTGGTAAGTCACTTCATAATTCATATCTTAGTTAATCTTATTTTGGTATTTCATTATTAATTAAAGATTTTGGGCACATATATATTTGTTCTCTTTATATATATAGAAAGAACACCCTTCTGCTCTTACCTCATTCCAACGAATGATCAATGCATCAAAGGGGAAACAAATAGTCGTCTTCTTAGATTATGATGGCACATTGTCACCCATCGTCAGTGACCCAGAGCGTGCCTTCATGACTGATCAGGTACTTCAACTTATTAATTAATTAATTAATTAATTTAATTAAACCCACTTTTTAAATTCATTGTCTTATATATTATATTATAAATTATAAATAAATAATAATCAATTTGAACGTATAATATCCAGATGCGTACAGCTGTTGGAGATGTATCGAATCACTTCCCAACAGCTATAATCAGTGGGAGAAGTCGCGAAAAGGTTTTTGATTTTGTTAAGTTAAAAAAGGTGTACTACTCAGGGAGTCATGGGATGGATACGATGGGACCTGCTCCCAAGAATGTGTCTTATGATAACAAGTATCTACATAAAATATCAGATAACGAGGTAATTATTAATTGTTATTAACTATTAATTAACGTATCTCTAATTTTTCTTCTATATAATATATAATAACAATAGTTATATGTATACTGACATATAATACGATGTACGTACGTATAATATTTTTTAGGGGAATGATTTCGTCGTCTTCCAACCAGCTCAGGATTTTCTATCGATAATCGAGAAGGTACAATTAACATGTATTTGCAAAATTGCTTCGCTTCATTCTTCAACATTTTTATTGGTTTAATCGACTGACACGTGGCATAGATGCTAATCGAGGTCAAGGAGAGAACACGAAACATAAAAGGGGTGACTATTGAGGACAATAGATTTTGTCTTTCTGTTCACTACAGACATGTGAAGGATGAGGTATGCAAAAATCATCATTTATAAAATCAATATATTTTTTCGAGTAAATTACATTTTTAGTTCTTAGCAATTAGTCCGACAAGTTTTCTACTGTAATTTTAGAGATGGGTTTTTTATTTAACGTTTTTGTCCTGTTCCAAAAAAATTGATTGTATTTTTAGGACTAAAATTACAAAAAATCATTATACCTAAGGACTAAAAATAATCATTTTTTCTTAAGTAATAGATAAAAAACGTTACAATAATTTCAAATTGGAAACTCCAAAATTACAAAAAAAATCTTTGGGAGCGCAATTGTAAAAAACAGCCATACTAACTTGCTAAGGGACTAAAAATGTAATTTATTATATATGAATATAGTTTTGAGTAAAATTACATTTTCTGGGTCGTATGCATAGGTGATTTTTTCAATTTTGTTTTAAAAAAATTATGGCAAATAAGGTCTCCGTTTGAGATTTATAATTATGCCATGTTTTTTTTGAAAGTCTAAAAATAAAATAACTATGTATTTGAAAAAAAAATACTTATAGTCATTTTACTTATAACATGGAACAAGAAAACGTTATTAAAAATATGAACTAAGAACCAAAATTGGTAGAATATATTTTTTGGGACAAGAATTCAAATAAGGACCAAAATCACACAAGCATAGACCAAAATTGCAAAAAGCAGCTATTGATGAGGACTAAAAGTGTAAATTATTCTTTTTAAAAATAGTAGTCCATAGAAATTAACATACATGTGGGCTGTGGGTGCAGGATTACGGAAGAGTGGAGTCGGAAGTGGAGTCGGTGCTTGCAAAGAATCCAGGGTTCCACGTGACGAAAGGCAACAAGGTGTTGGAAATCCGGCCGTGTATCGGCTGGAACAAAGGCGATGCTCTTAAGTATCTTCTCGACACTTTGGGGTTTCACAATTCCACTAGTAGTAGTAATCATGTCTTCCCCCTTTACATCGGAGACGATACTACAGATGAGGATGCTTTCAAGGTATTTATATATATTATATTATATATGTGAAATTGAAATTGAAATTGAAATTGTGAAGCTAGCATGCATTAATTAATTAATTAATTAATTCAGGTTTTGAGGGAAGGAGGTATGGAAGGGTACCCAATAATAGTATCATCCACACCAAAAGAGACAATGGCTTTGCACTCACTTCGTAACCCATCGGAGGTACAATCCTTCCTGATGCGTTTAGGTCGATGGGGATTTAACAATGCCACCACCAACAATCATGACCACTACCCACCTAGCTAATTAATATATATACACATATATATATATATATATATATATATATATATATATATATATATATATATAATCAAAGTATATATGTATATAATTAAGTCCCACCCAAGAGAAAGAAGATATGTTAATGTTAGTGGCTGAAGCACCAGCAGGACACTCTTTTTATGGTCTTGGCTTGTGTGCTGTTTTTTTCCTTTATTTAGGTCGAGTTGTTTTCTTTTAATGAATAATATATGTTAATCCTCCGACTATATAACTACAGCCTTTTGTAATGGCTTTGGTTTTTATATAAATTATATATTATTATACATGTCTCCATCTCTTAATTTCCAATCTCTTCCAATCTCTTTACTCTTTTTAATCTGTTATAGACTTAATTATATCTTCTTATGTGTTTGAACATATATATTATATGCATGCATGCCACCATTTCTTTAATTTGTTAAGGAAACGAACACAATAGAATCGTAAATTATGTTCTGGGTGATATTACACCAAACTCGTAGTTTTCCAAGACCATTCATACCATTGAAATCTCAATCATGTCAAGTCAGATTTTATAATTAATAAAGTAGTCCCCAGTAACACATTAACATGAATATATTATAAGTATTTCTAATTTAAATAATAAATTAATATTCAAATATATAACAAGCAAATAATAATGATAATAAATCTTCCTACCTAGTAAAAGAGTAGCAAATTTGCCACGTGTCAATCAATTAGAGCTTAAACTTAATTATTTGCCACTTGTCAGTCTTTGGTTTTTTCTCATTAATTACATTTTTCCACTAATTCACTCATCCCTTTTACACAGATGAAACACGTCAGCAAAAAATTGATTTGTAATATCTGTTGCCTAATTTATTACAATAAACCTTAATCAATAAATGTAATTTCAAACAATCACGCCACCTTTATGCAATCCCATCAATATACTAAATCCCTGCATAACACCTATTCATTTCTACAATGTAATTTTCAAATTTTCAAATAAAACAATGTAAACAATTGTACAATATACTCAATATATATATATATATATATATATATATATATATATATATATATATATATATATATATATATATATATATATATATACCTCATCTGCAGTGCATATTCACGAATTTAAAAAAGTCAAAAATAAAATGTACTAATCTACTAAATTGATTGACTGAAAATCAGCTTGATCTAAATTAAGCATAATATTATCCTTTCGATTTCAAAATCAGCTTATATTAGGAAACAATATTCACGGTTTTAAAAAGGTCAAAGATATATATATATATATATATATATATATATATATATATATATATATATATATATATATATATATATATATATATATATATATATATAACGTTTTATGTGTATATGCTAGAAGATTTTTTTATTAAAATAACAAATTGACTAAATTGACTAATTGAAAAATCTAAATATATAAATATAATAAATTCAAACGATTTTTTAGTAATCTAAATCTAAAATTAGCATTTGATATGATAGTTGGTAATGGTATTATGAATTGATTGGCATTTCTATTTCAAAATCAGTTTATATTAGGAAGCATTAATATTAATATTAATTACGTTTCCATTTTTTAATTTGACTAACGAAATCTATTCATTTCTCAGCAGTGGTATATAAATACAAAAACTATAACAATTTAATACCTTTGTTGTTCTTCCTCTGCATACGTTTTCCTCCGGTTATTCATAATACAAAGGTAATACTCTCTGTTACACGTTGAACCATGTTCTGATCAGTTTCCATTGCTTTTCCTGTTTCATTACAATTCAAGGTTATCAAAAAAACTACACATGTTATACAGGATAATAGTTGTATTACGAACTTTCTTGATAACTTAAACATGAACACTGATTATGGACAATGAAACTTAAACATTGTACTTTCATTTTCAAAGTGAAACCATGTATTTATTTCCGTATTTGCCCCTGTTACAGATTATGGCTGCTGGAAATGTTACCCTCATAAGTGATCTTGATGTCTTGAAGGATAATTTCACCATGAAACTTCGTGTAATCAGATTATGGACAATGAAATGTTACTGGAACACAGATGAACTAGAAAAATATATCTTCAAAATATATTTTACATTTTCATTTAAAACAACGATTATAATTTTATATAACTAGAAAAATATATATCTTAATTAATAATTTATTTATAATAATTGATTAGTAATTATAAGTTTTTTTTATAAATATTTAATATATTTTATAACCGTGGTTCTCATGGGTTATAACGTATTATTTAATATACTCCTAATAACCAATCAGCCATGGTTAAAAATAAGATCTTGCACAAAAAAAAATAGCGCCGTATGTTTGAATCGACATGATATATGGAACTAGGTTAAAACATTGATGAGAGTCATAATTGTTTGCCTGACATTATTTACATTATTTGTAAATAAGAAGTTGGTTGAATTTCACATTTTGGTAATATGGTAAGATTTTGTATTAAGATAAATTACAAATAAGTTATAGTTAAAGTTGGTGATTCATGATGAGTTGTATCTAGTTTCGAAATCGTATCTAGTTTTGAAATCGTACATTATTATGCTCAATTCACACGTATTATTTTCTTATGGACTTGAACGTCTGTAGAGTTTTATATATATTGAAGTATGATTTACGTAAAACGTATATTTATAATGATATAAAACACATATTTTATAACGATATTCAATATCTTAATTATATCATATTGACACAGATTTATATTATTATGTACATATAAATGAGATGGTAATAAATGAACTTTGTAATAAAAGTTAAAATAGAAAATTGAATCAAACAACTTAAATTGTTTTCTTTTAAATAATTAAAAAAAATCATGATGCTATTATTGTTATGAAATGACATAAATTTTATTATTATAAATTTCTATTTTTCTTATCTTCTATAAACTAAAATAAAATGTTTTATAAGTGTTATGTAAGATATTAGTAGAGTCCAAGATTTTTTCTTTAAAAGAATCTTTATGGAGAAAATAGATTCCATCATATATATATAAACATAAAAGGGCACCGATATTGGATAATATATTGGAGTATTTTACATATATATTTCATATTATTTTATATTAAACTTGTAACTAATAAGATAAAAAAAAAAGAATAAAATAATATTAAAATTTATATGTATGAAGCCTATGTTTACAAACAAATTAAAAGGCGTTTATATATAAATAAGAAACTCTCATGACCCACAATGTTTTTCAAAAAAAAAAAGTCTGATTTTCTTAAATCGTTATTTTACAAAACTTTTTTCAACAAGGATCTCACTCATAAGCATCTTTTAGAAGTTTAACCGCCTGCAATTTGCAAAATAACAAAGCAACACCTTAATGATATGTAAATATTAAGCTTTAAATGTGGAGACGTACTTTAACATTGATTATTTTAGAATGGTGACAACTTTATTAAAAAAAACGACCAGCAAATCCTAGACAAAAGACCCAAAATGCTACATCAAAATCAGACCGGCAAACAAGTGGTTACACCACCAAACAATCCAATTAAGGCTAGACATTTCCGATCTATATTTAACCCAAGGAAACATATGCATTTGCATGTCATAATTAGCTTAGGGACCGATATCAAGCAATTACGAAAAATAAACCAATATCTAGCATTCCATATAAACTAGAATCATGGTTGGAGTCACAACATTTGAGGCCATGCTACATTTTTATTTAGGTACAACATTTTTGGCAATCAACATCGAGACCCTATGACCAACAAACAGAAACTATATTTTTTATAAGAAGATATAAGAAATATTAAAACATCTAGCAAGAAGCTAGACACAAGAGGCTACAAAGAAGAAAAATTATGAAAACATCGTTAAAAATTCAAACTCTAAACTTCCAAAGCAAAAACACATGAAACGAAAAACACGAGCCTCATTTTCAATCACAATGTTGCAAATTTGACACACCAAAAAGGTGATATGTAAACATTTTGTTGATGATATTCGCCATCATGGGAAGCTTCCCCAACCGATTTTTTCAAACCCAAAATATTTACTCTAATTTGGTACCCGACTATTCTATTTACCTCATATGGATTGCATGTGCATCCAAAATTAGGTTCCTTTTCAATCTAAGGCCTCAATGATTTCACCAAGAACATGTTAGAAGAATTGAGTTGTCATTTTCCATCTACGAGTCACCTTATTTTAGGTTTCAAATGACTCAACTCGTACGAGTCGATTTGTGACTCCTATGAGTTTGACAACCATGCATATGAAGAACTTGAAGACTTAAAAGTTATTGATAATGATAAATGAGACTCTTTGGAGGAAGACTCGGGTTAGGAGAGAAATGAAGGGACATACTGAAGCAACTGGGAAAAGATAAGACGTGTAGTTTAAGTCAAAGTCACATTCAAAGCTTTTCTATTGGTCAAATATTTCAGACAAATAAGGACATGAAAGAAAAGATTGAGCTTCATGCAGTGGAAACAATGAGTGGCTTGGTCCGGAAAAAGAATGAAAAAATAAGGTTAAGAGGCTGTTTGGTTTGATTGAATGTAATGAAATTGGGGGAGGGGGAGGGGAGAGAGAGAGAGAGAGAGAGAGAGAGAGAGAGAGAGAATTGGAATATATTTCCATCACATTCCAGTGTTTGGTTCAAAATTTTGAGATGAAATTGGATTCCTAAATGAAAAAAATTTCCACCAAATGAATGGAAGTAAATTCATTCAAAGTTTGGATGAAATTAATTCCAATTCATGAGGGAAAGTATAACATTCTCATATTACCCTTTACCACCATCATCGCCCAAATCACTGCCACCAATCATCGTCGTCGCCGCCACCACCATCACCATCACTACGATTACCACCCGTCACCACCACCATTACAATCACCACCCGTTGCCGCCGCCACCGCCAGAATGCTACCGGTATCATTCATCGCTGCTACAACCATCGCCACCATCACCCACCACGACAACCATCACCGCCTCTGCCACTACCACCGCCATATGCTACCAAACACCCGCCACCACTACCACCTGCCACCATCACTAACCATCACATATAACTTATAAAACAAAGTAAAATTAAGCCAAAAAAACAAGAAGGCCAATTATGTCATTTTACATTATTCTAATTGTATTTCTTTCCAACCAAACAAAATATGAAATTAGATTCTAATTCTATTTCCTGTCACCCAAACAGACTATGGAATTGGATTATAATTCCTGATAGTTTCTAATTCCCTGACAGATTCCAGTTCCTTCGTAAACATTTTGCGAACCAAACTCCACCTAAGGGTTGTTTGCAAAGGAGTTGTATTTGTAATAAATGTTGATGAGACAAGTTGGTGTAACAAAGGCGTGAAGATAAAGGGTAAAGAAGTAACTTTGAAAAAAATAAAGATTTTGACTTGTTAGTGAAGAAATTTAATAACCACCGCTCATGTATGTAAATTATAAAACCGAGTCTTTGTACTGCTAAGAAGTACAAGATATGAACCTCATTGGAAAAGGTTTTTAAGGCAAAGGAAGTTGCAAAAAAGTGTAACATCCTGTTTCGAATTGTTCCCATTTTGAATTGGTGATAAAAGGATTAAGTGCTATCAAGCTACGGATACCTGAGGGGTTGGGTTTCGGACCCAGTTGGAGTTGGATAATGTATCTTGGATTGCTCGGGTATCCCATTTGAGTTTTTGGATCAAAGGGTATTTCGGTAATTTATCAGCTCGGGTTTTTAAGGGAAGTGGATTTTAGTTCGGGATATTTTATGGCAGGCAGGAATTGTTAATAGTGTTGAGTGTCTCGATACCTTTCTATGGATATATGAATGGTTGGAATTAGAGTTGTATCGAGTGAGTTAGGGTCTTCGGAAGAATTAGGGTTTTGGGAAAAGCCCTAGTATGTGGGGCGTACCAAAGAGAAGGAACTACGCGGGGCGTAGCTGGAGAAACGCGTAGCGTATATGCGAGGATTGGATCGGGGTGCGCGGCCTCGTACACGGGGTGTACGAGGGTCAGATTGAAAACCCTAATCTTAGAGTTGTACCCTATATAAGCATAATGTTAAGCCTCCTTCTTCATTCTAAGACATCCCCCACCCTCTAAAACCCTAGAACTCGTCCTTAATCATTCATGGTGATATTTTGAGCTTATGGAGTCCATTTTTGGAGTGTTTGGTCCATTTGTAGGAAGGTGGAGTTTGATACAAAGATGAGGTTCAAGGAGAAGCTTATGGATCTGGCTTTTGTGACTTATTTTTAGCTTGATGAAGGTATAAAGCTTTGAACTTGATCATTGATGTCTTAGATCTACTATTTATGGATTTTTGTTCATTTTGGTCCTAAGTATGAGATCTAGTGGTCTTGATTTCATTCCAGGAGCTTTGAGTTGCCCCTCCTAGTGTTTCTGAGATTCAAGGTCCATAAAGTTGGAACCTTTAGAGTTTAAGACGATCTATGTTGGAGTTTGAGTCATTTCCATGAAAGTAGAATGCTATTTGGTCTTTTTGGGGCATGCAAAGTCACCAAGTCAGTAACTTTATGGGTTTAGACGTTAGTTGGGACTCGGATCTGTGGTTTGGACTTGTTGGACCAATCATTAAGAGCTTAATGAGGATTTGGCTTAATGGAGTAGTACGTTGGGCGTACAAGTCTGTACGCGCAGCA